ATTAAATAATAAAACATCCCACTAGAGTAATATTATTGTTCTCCCCATTTAGCCACTATTTTACCAATAAAATTGAGCCTCCATGATTAAATAATATTAATCTGATTGGTCGATTTACCTCCCTATGTTTAAGACATAACGTCCGTTGATTAATTAAATTACTGACAAAATAATTAATCAACTTCTTTTTCATTTCCGAAATTAGTACCACTCAGAACCTTAATCATTATGTCAGACAATCGTCTACCTGCAGGGTTTAACATAGTGTACATTCATGAGCTCATTTCGGGGACGTCATCAATCCAGCGCACTGGAACATAGTGACCATAAATAATTTATAATAGCACATCATATAATTATTCTTATTTACCAATATACCTCGTATGTCATCCTAATGAAATAGGAATCACTTGGTAAATCAAATAAATAAGAAATAAAAAATATATGCCTATTTTATATTATCTTACAGCTTAATAGACCGCATCAATTACCAAAGGTCTAGGTTACAACAACGATCAGTGAGTCTCATAACCTTATCCTTCCGTGGTCCTATTCAATACTTAACATAAGTGCTAGTGTAATTCTTCAGTCAAAGACCAACTGAATCAAGAATACACTACAGCCTTTTTCCAAGAGGGGTCTCACTACCTGTCTAGACTGTGAACGAATAGTTTAGTCTTATAAGGAACCGATGGGTGATCTTTCTGTTCGAAACACTTCGAACCACACTATCTCAATATAAGACATGGAGTATGATTTGCATAAATAAATAAACTGCAATCATAAATACTTTGACCAAAACATGATGGCCAGATCAAAATGGAATTGATAGAATCTGCAAAACATAGCTTTTACAGCATGCCTCTTACAGGGGCAGGAGCACTGTGGAAGACCATGAGTCCCCAACAAGGCACAGGACCTACCGGAGGCCAGAATCCCGGCAAGGCACAGAACCTACCGGAGGGAAGGCTGACGAAAAATGTCGTCAACAGTCCTCCAGTCTCTGATAAAAGTTTTTGTCAACATGTCCTGATTTCCGACAATAGTAGCAGAGGCTCATAATTTTCTCATATTTAAAGTGAATTGTAACTGTTTGCTCCCCCAATCTAATTGTGGACCATCTGGGAAGAGGTTCCTTTAAGTCCAGAGTAACTTGAAGCCTTATTATCCTTACCCCTTGAAATTTCTCTCTAGCTAAATTAACATTTCTTATATCTTTGAATGCTCTTCCTATATTCAGACCAACCTTTGAGCTCATCCAGTTGATCAGAACACCATGAGTTGGACCCTTATTGTTATTTCTCCAAAGCTTAGGTGTTTTTATGTTAATCTTTCTTTCCATGGTTGCAAATTGAGATATTGGTTCTCAAAGATCCAACTTCTTCTTAGGTCCACTCTTTACAGGGCTTCTCGGCTCGGGAATACGAACTGGAAGTAGTTGAGATTGAGCTCACGGACTTCAAGCGCTTTCCCAATTCTCCATAGCAATCCCATCGTTCTTCTGATGCCTATCCAATTCGCTTTTTTCTTCCCTATCACTCTCCCAAATAGACTACGATTGCATTCCTCCGGACTGATTTTCACATCTTTCCCTTCAATATGTATAATGAGTTTCTCTGCACCAGCAACTGAAATTTGTCGTTATCTTTACCCTAATTCTTTATCCATAATCGAACTTTGCAATCTCGAGAATAAAGAACCCCCGTATCCCCCAAACCCTAACTGATACACCACACCTTTGAATTCGAAGAGGACAACTCCCATCGGAGATCGAATTCTCACCACGAGAGAAGGACACTCACAACGAGAGAAGGACAAAAGTGTTTTGTTTAAAATACTCTAGTTTGGTTGTCGCCTTCGGACTGGGTGAAGGTGAATACGGATGGGGCATTTTCGTCCCATATGGGTTGTGGTTATGTGGGAGGCCTGGTTCGTGATTCTCAGTGCCGCTGGCTCGGGGGTTTTATGATGAATATTGTCATTTGCTCCATTACCGGAGCCGAACTGTGGGGACAATTTCATGGGCTCTCTTTGGCATGATCTTTGGGCATCCGGAAGGTGGTGGCGGAAGCGGACAACAGTAGCGTGATTAATATGGTTATGGGGCGTGAGGATGTGAGTGGGATTCATGACAGCCTCGTCCCGGCAATACGTGACTTACGGGATCGTGACTGGTCGGTGGATCTGGTGCATGTGTTTCGGGAAGCGAACTTCGCTGCGGATCATCTGGCGTCCCTAGCGGCGTCTGAACCCCTTGAGGTGCACCATCTGGCCGTTCCTCCTCCGTCCATTGACAAGTGGTTGGAGCATGATATTATTAGGGTCGCTTTCTCCCGCCGTATTTTGTCTTAGTTTTCATTAGGCTTCGACCCCCTTTATTGTACTGAAAAAAAAAATACTCTAGTTTGTCATTAAAAAAATAAAAATAAAAATAAAAAAATCATTACACCCGCATAGTTTCCACAGTCCACACGCCCCTCCATAGGCACCCGATAAAACCCATTACCACGTGTAAACCCCAGCAACACACTTAAGCACCACACAAAAATTTCCTCCGCAGCACCGTTTTATCCACAACTCACTCAACACTCCCCTGAATTATTAAAATCATTAAATCAACATCAACGGAGGACTGATCCACAAGATATTTCGATCCTCACTCAATCCGCCCAACCTCCTCCACAAATTCCCCACATGCCAATCCTTAATTCTCCATTTTCCTAAAATCTCTCTCTCTCTTTCTTCACCCCCATTCGTAGCAGAGCCCTTCCAATGGCTTTGCCTCAGCTCTTGCATTCCCCTCAATCCTCCACCTCCTCCTCCCTAATCCCCACAAAAACCCACTCAATACCCTCGCACCATGCTAAATCCGCCGCCGCCGGCCTCTTCTCCCCACCGCACCAGAGGCGGCGGAGGTCCTGCTCCCTCTCCTGCTCCGCCTCCTCCTTCTCGGAGAAGCACCACACCAATCCCCCCAAGTCCGACGACGTCGTCGAGCTCCCCCTTTTCCCGCTCCCCTTGGTCCTCTTCCCCGGCTCCGTCCTCCCTCTCCAGGTCTTCGAGTTCCGCTACCGGATGATGATGCACACCCTCCTCCACACGGACCTCCGATTCGGCGTGATCTACACCGACGCTGCCTCCGGCACGGCCGAAGTAGGCTGCGTTGGCGAGGTAATCAAGCACGAGCGCCTCGCAGACGACCGATTTTTCCTCATCTGCAAAGGCCAGGAGCGGTTCCGGGTCACCCGCCTCGTCCGCACCAAACCCTACCTCGTCGCGGAGGTGACGTGGCTCGAGGACCGCCCGTCCGCCGCCACCGGCGGCGGCGAGGACCTTGACGCGCTGACCAACGAGGTGGAGATGTACATGAAGGACGTGATCCGGCTGTCCAACCGGCTCAATGGGAAACCGGAGAAGGAGGTGCAGGATCTGAGGAGGAATCTTTTTCCAACTCCGTTCTCGTTTTTTGTGGGGAGCACGTTTGAGGGAGCCCCGCGTGAGCAGCAGGCCCTGCTGGAGCTCGAGGACACAGCCACGAGGCTGAAGAGGGAGAAGGAAACTCTGAAGAATACACTGAATTACCTGTCGGCGGCTTCGGCTGTTAAGGATGTTTTCCCGTCTTCGTAGCTGAATTTTGGGGAAATACAGGGGGTGGCAGGTAATTTCTGATTTTTATTCGATTGGCGATGTGCGTAGCTAGTTTGTGGTTATGCAATGATACAGGAGTAATTTTTGGGGATGGGAATATGTAAAAAACTTCGATGTGTCTAATAGATGAAATCAAGTTTGGTTCTTTTTTGATGTGTGGGGATCGTTTAGAGAGAATGGAAAGGGTTGAATATTCAAAGCACGAATATGATTATTGCGAGGCAAAGTTCGAATCTTGGTGATTGTTCATAATACCTATTTAGGTTTAATCCTGAGATTGTTGTGATTTGTAATCATAAATTCATGTAATTTTTGAGAATGACATCGTGCTGTTGTATGTAGGTTTCATCTATTATTTGGTGCTCTTGCCTCTTGAGGTTGTAAAAATTGAGGATATGGTGACCGTTTCTCCTTTTGGCTCATAGTGACTAGTGAGGGATGTTAAATTTAGTGAAATGGGTGATGCTAATGTGGTGCATTGCAATACAGCTGAGGTGATCCGCAACCTTGTAAGGGATTAGGTTTTGGGATATGCTTTAGAGGTGTGCATCTTTTCTTTTCTGAAACACGGGCTACAAGTTTAGTTGGAAAACTCCTGCTGCCTGACATTTGGCATTCAGTAAAACTGGCTTCTGATTTTTGGTGAGATGCTGGGTCTTTTGCACCGTGACACAGATTCTCCATTTTTGGAGTTCAAAGTGGTGTCATAAAACCCATTAATTAAAATCTTCTCCTATACAGGTTCTCATTCCCATTCCAAATTTCCCACATGTCAATCAAACTGATTCCAAGTTTGATTCGTTGTGTTGGCAGTTCAAACAGTTCCCAAGATTAATTCAAAGTGTTGGTAGTTCGAATTTGCAGTAGGTCTTTCTTTTGCTTGAGTGAGATTATGAAATTTATACAGGCGGAAGAAAGAAAAGAGAAGAAAAGGCTATGCGCTGTAATGTGAAATTTGTTTGAGTTGGGTCTGCAGTTAGATTTTTTTACTTGTGAATGAGCCACAATTTGGTAGTGGTGTTCTTCTGTCACATCAGAAAGAGTTCTGTTGCTATTCATAACCCAACAGCCTATCACTAACTGAATTCAGTTTCTCTTGCAATTCCTGTATAGATATTATTTATGTTGGTATTGAAGTTCTTTCAGTCGATATCATAGTTTCAGGGTTAAAACGCATCAGTTTCTTGGATTTGAGATCACTACAGCTGTTGTATACAACTTGAAAATTGCTTTGCTTGGAGGTCTTATTTTCTGCTGAGTATTTAATCCGTAATCTAGCTTTCACTCTTGATTCCCTAAAAGATTGGCTCTCTGACGTCTATATTTATATGGATTGCATTTTATATGAACTGTGCAGAGAAGCCGGCTTGGTAATTATCTTCAGAGCCATTACGCGAAGCCTGCTTGTTAATTATCTTCAGTGCCATTAAGCAAGTGGACTATTTGAAACAGTGCCGTATCTGAGTTTTTGAGGCCTTGGGCGAACTTCGAAAGTGGTGCCCCTAGAACTTACTGAGGGCATGATTGGATATAGATTTGTGTTTGGATACTTGGTTTTGATTGATTTTTTTTTTTTGTTAATCATTGTTAATGTTAAAAAAGTTAGTTGAGCTAGGTTTGTGTGTGATTTTGAGTTTGTATCAAGATAATATTTAAAATAGGATTAATTGCATAAAAAACCCCAACCTTTTGTTTAATTGCAAATAAAAGTCAACTTTTTCAACTTTGCAAAAAAATACCAAACGTTTATTAAGTGTTGTAATTTTGTCTCGAAAGCAAATTCCGGCCAATGCACCATGGCCGATCGGAGAACTTACGTGACACTAGAATTTTGACGTGGCAATCAATATTTTATACTCGATGACACGTCATTTTACATGTAAGAATACATGTCACGTCCCAGGAATGCCACGTCAATGTCTCTTAAATTGATATACCCCAAATTGATAGCTCGATTAATCATAAAAAAATACAGAAACTTCATCGTGCGGGCCTGTGGTGATTTCTTCTTGGCAGTTCACCCCCAAAATTTGCCGCCGCTGTTGATTCTTCACCCAAAAAATCGATTGGTGTTTTGCTTCAGGAATTCATTTCGACCCCAGATCATGATCCCTAAAATCTTTGAGCAACAAAACTCTAAATGGAGAATGGGTAAATTTCATACATTTTTCTTGGTCGCCCCTTTTATCACTCCATATGATTTGCTATGGATTCTTTGTGTAATTAATCTTCGTGTGTTGAATTATGGGGTATAAAATATTGATTATCAAGTCAAAATTTTGGTGCCACGTCAGTTTTCCAACCGGCCATGTTAGCGTGCATTGGCCGGAATCTGCATTCGAGATAAAATTGCAACACTTAATAAGGGTTTGGTATTTGTTTTCCAAAATTGAAAAAGTTGAATTTTATTTGCAATTAAACAAAAGGTTAGGATTTTTATGCAATTAACCTTTAAAATAAAATGATTAAGGTTGATTTGATGTAAAAGTAGAAGAAATGTGATTGATAGGGATAGGTAGTTAAAATTGGCCTAATTGCTAATAAAACCATAAATTTTTAGAATTTGCAATTATATGCACCACTTTTAAACTTGACAAATATATACACCACTTTTACTATTTTTGGCAATTTGAATCACATGGCCCGGTTTCGGGCTTTGTTTGCTGACATGGCTGCTGACTTGACGATAAATATTGTATAATCATTTAAGATTTTTATTATGTTTAATTATTTCTGGCCCGATTTCGGGCTATTAAATTATTACATTAACTAATATAATCAAACAAAATATATTTTATTGTATTATATTCATTTAATCTTTTTACTTGTTTTAATTTATTATTTATAATAAGTTATTTGATTTATTATTTTATTTTATTTTACTTTACTATTTTTCATAGTTTATTATCTTATATTATATTATTTTTATTTTAATTGGTGTACTTATAGTTTATTTTTAATTTATATAGTTAATTTTATTTCAATAAATAAGAAATATATAAATTTATTTAAATATAATTTAATTTAAATGCACTCTATAATAGATTTTGCCTTACTTTATTTTAATTTATTTGTTTTCTTTTGATATTATAGAATTTATTTTATTACATTTTTTATATTATAAGTTTATATCTTATTAATATAACTCACATTATCTTTAAAATTTAATTTGATTAATTCATACGTAGTATCTACATATATAAAACGCTATTAAATTTAACATACAACTTGGATTGGTATGGGTGGTTACAATGAATTATGTAACCTTGAGGTCCCAAGTTTGAACCACATCGTTGTTCATATTTTTTATCGCCATGTCAACAGAGAAAGCCTGAAATTGGGACATGTGATTCAAATTGCCAACAATACTTAAAGTGGTTTATATATTTGCCAAGCTTAAAAAGTGGTGCATATAATTTGACGGCTGCGACGTGCAACTCCGTCCCTAGCCGCCCCCAACCCGTCTATCGCTGATGCTGCACGAGGTCGACTCCTGACAGCACCCGCACGTGGAATTGCCCACGGGCGCGCCAGGGTAAGCTCGACCCAGCAACCGCGGGTCGCGGCTTAAGGCTCGCCTCGGTCGGGGTTTGCTCAGTAGTGACTCTCGTCGGAGCTTGTCTCCAATTTTCGGGTTAATTGACAACACATAATAAACAATTACATACAATCGACTTATGATCCACACAAGGACCGTACATGAATGATATTTAGTAAAACGGTAAACTTATTTGTTGTCCCACTACGCGTTTAATTATTACAACCCAAAAAATTCTCCGACACGTCTGGGCTTTTAAAATGCAAACATAAAACAGAAATCAACACATACACTCTGGCCATAATCGACAGACTTATAATTCCTGCAAAAATATAAGATTTGCAATTCTATACTACTATGCACTGCGAGAACACAATTACTATCATGGTTGCCAATAATATACAAATAAATCCTAAAAAACAGTTAATATATTTCTATTTTAATTTTTGACCACTAGTAAAACTATTTAATTTATCTTGTTATTATCTCTTAAAATAAAAATTATATTAATCTTAAGAAGAAATTATATATATATATACATATCAAAATAAAGTTTAAGAAAAAAATATACAGGCTAATATTAATCAGCAACATGATTTCGCCTGATTAATTCAAAGAAAAAATTCTACCTAACCTGTTACGATTTTATATAAATATTTTTGGATAAAAAGTGAATACTTGTGAAAAAAATTAATATTATGGTTAGAACTTAAATGTTATAATATTTATCTTGACCTAAATATTATCAACATTAATTACGAAAAATCAATCTTGTAATTTATTATAGTGGATATCAATGAAATTATTGCAAATAATAATAAAATTATTTAAAGAAACAATATTTGATAAAATCTGATTTGATCTTATTTGAAAACACTAGTACGAATCCCGTGCGATGCACGAGTAAGAAATATTCATTAATATTTATAAATTACAAATGCTCATCAATTAATATTTATATATAAGAAATATGGAATTAATATGTAATACGATTTACCTATTATTAATTAGTTGAAATTGTATGTGAAATCTAAATTGTGAAAATTACATAAAACATGTCTATTTAAAATTAGTACACGACCGTACGGTGCAAATAACTGATAATAAGTTACATTATATTCATTTCAAAAATAGATGTCATTTTAAATTTTTTTATTTAAATTTGATTTAACTACAATGTGATTTAAGCAAAAAACAATCCTTTATATATACAACACACACACAACAAATAATTTGATATGTTCCACGCACATTTACAAAGAAGAATCGACCATAGTATTATCCAGATTTTCTTTCATTAATATCGAGTAAAATGCTTAGCAATATGAAAAAAATGAGATATCATTTATTACCATAAGCGGGTATATTGGATCAATATATAGTATACCAAATAATTTGATTTCATACTTTATCGATAAAATTTAAAAATGATATTCAGTTC